CCCTAGCAAACACACGTGCCCTTGGCAAATTTTCCTGAAACATTAGGTTTTGTGGCCAGCAGGCGGTGCAGTGGTTAAGGCACTGGACTCCCACAGGCCAAGTGCACGCCAAGTGCAGGGTCTGAGGCTCGCTTTCTTGCTTTCCCTCCCTCTCTGTCTCTTTGGTGAGTGCATGTGTCCTATAGCAAATTAAAATTTAATAATAATAATTAACCAAGTTAAGTAATTCTCTTTTAAAAATTAGGTTTTGCCACTTATATGGGTCTTAATTTTCTTATGAGGGCTCCACTGTCAGGTAAAACATATTAAATAAATCGGTATGCTTTTCTCCTGTTAATTTGCGTTATGTCGATTTAATTTTCAGGCCCAACTGCAGACCCTAAGAGAGTAGAGGTAAAGCTTTGCCTCCCCTAAACCCTCTTATCTGACATGATCAGGAACAGATGATTGTATTTCAACTTAAAATTTAAAAATGCATGCACTTGGGGCTGGCAGGTGGCGTAGTGGCTAAGGGTGCTAGACTCCCGTATGGCTGACTGTGGTTCGAGTCCTGGACCTGGAAGCTCGCTTTCTCGCTTTCCCTCTCCCTCTCTCTCTGTGTCCCTCTCTGGTCAAATTGGAATGGATAGATAAATGAAGTTAAATTTAAAAAAAAGTTCTTAAAAAAAAAAAATGCATGCACCTGCCATCCGTCAGATTTGTTGGGGATGGAGCCAGTGATTGGAGTCACCCATCTCCTCTCTTGCATAAATCTCACCAGTGAGGGATCATTTGCGATTTCCGGTGTAAATCTTTGTTTTCTGTTATAGGTTGCATACACTGCCAGACAGAGAGAGAGGGAAAGTGTGAAACCACTCCCTAGGGGAATGGTCATGCCACAATCCATTCTCCCTCACTCTCCCCTTGGGATCTTGGGCATGCACACACATGTGCTTGGCATGCTTTTCAAGCTTCAGGGTCGAGATTTGTGTGATGCAATCTGAGGGCAAATTTTTTCTAGGTTTTTATGATTTTCCTCAACTTGTAATAATCTCTTCCTCACATCATTAAACAGCAGGTGTTTTTTTTTTGTTTTTTTGGCTAGTCAAGTGAAGCAGTGCGAGTAGAGAAGGAACAAAGGAATCTGTAACTGGCTGCGATCAATTAGTTGTAAACACCACTGCACTCGGACCAGCCAAACAGCAGCTTT